TTATTCCACTTTACTAAGACGTTGTATAAATCAAGCGCAAAAACTTAATAATGATAAATATATTGTGCAATCAAAAAATAGATGTCGTGCTTCTTGGAATATAATAAAAAATCAGACTTGTTGCATAAATAATAATTTAATTGAAAAAGTTTGTATAAGTGATAATTCTTTGACAGACCCTCAACAAATTGCTGAAGCTTTCAACAACCACTTTATTCAATCAACAAATATCAATAATAACAGTAATCAGTGCCAAAACACTAATAGTCTAAGAGTATGTAATAGTATGTATTTAGAAATGTATACTGTTGATGAAGTATTGAAATTAATACAAACATTAAATAATACGAAGTCGGAAGGTTTTGATGGCATTTCAACGGATGTTATTAAAAGTTGTTGTACAGTTTTAAGTAGAGTATTAACTTACCTAATAAATCTGTCATTTAAAAAAGCTACTTTTCCTAGTGTTTTAAAAAAGTCAGTTGTCAAGCCGATACATAAAAAGGGTGACTCTAAAAATTTTAATAATTATAGACCTATTAGTATAGTCTCAGTTTTATCTAAAATATTTGAAAAGGCAATGACTAAACGCATTATAGACTTTACGACGAAATATAATTTAATTAAAAGTGAGCAATATGGCTTTCAAAAGAATAAATCGACAAGCCTTGCTGGATATGATCTTGTTGACTCAATTGTTAAAGCTATCAATAATAAGCTAAGAGTAACAGCAATCTTTTTTGATATGTCGAAGGCCTTTGACTTTGTATCCCACAAAATACTTTTACAAAAACTCGATAATTTAGGGTTTCGAGGTCCTGTCCTGGACTGGATTGCTAGCTATTTAAGAAACAGGATACAATTTGTGGAAGTAACAAATATTGATAATTCACAGACATTAACTTCTTACAAATCCAGTGATAGATTAAATTCATTTGGAGTTCCACAAAGTTCTGTATTAGGGCCAACTCTTTTCATTTTATACATAAATGACTTACCTGACTCAACTTTATATAAATGTATTTTATTTGCTGATGATATTTCAGTTATTGTGACATCTAAAAGAGACATTGACATAGACATTTATGAATCTAATATTAATAATACTATTGACAATATTTCAAAGTGGGCGACATATAATAATTTATGTATTAACGTAGAAAAGACATGTTATATTCAATTTAGTAATTATGGACCATTGAATAATAATCTTAATATATATTGCAATGGACAATCTGTTAATGAAATGACTGAAACAAAATTTCTGGGAATATTATTGGACAAACGTGTGAACTGGAAAGCCCAAGTTGAAAAGGTCTGTTCTAAAATAAACAGTTACATTTTTCTACTTAGCAGACTGAGAAGAATTACATCTCATGAAACTATAATAACGGCGTACTATGCATACATTTACTCTGCACTTGATTATGGTCTTTTACTTTGGGGTAACAGTACAGATGCTGTTAAGGCCTTTACAGCCCAAAAGAAATGTATTCGAGCTATGCATGGTTTGGCACCAGATTCATCGTGTAAACCGTACTTTAAAAAATTACACATTTTGACGCTGCCATGTATGTACATCTTAAATTTGGTATGTTTTGTTAAAAATAATATACTTTTGTTCACAAAGATAAGAGATACTGTACAGAGGAACTTGAGGCATACTGAAAGACTGACTCATAGTGTAATGCCAAGCACTAGCCTCTATAGGAAAAATTGTTCAGCTATGTGTATAAAAATTTTCAATGCACTGCCTACAGAGTTTCAATCACTCCCAAAAGGACGTTTTCGCAGGATTGTTAAACAATGGCTTGAGGAGCAATGCTTCTACTCTGTTGAAGAATATTTAAATTTTATGGTTAGGATTAGGCAACGGTATTAAAATGAATTAAGTAATTACGATTATATTATTTTAATTAAATTAAATGTAATAAAATGTTTATGATGAATTTGAAAATATGTTATTTATTATATTAGTTATGAAAATGTAATTTAGGTATTCTATAAATATTTGTATGTCATCATTATGACAAAACATGCTGGTCTAAAAAAATCTACCAACCTGTAATGTACCATGTTTTCTGCAAATAAATTATGATTATGATTATGGTGTTGAGATATAAGTTAACATTTGACTCATTTAGTTTAATGTTTATGTTTATGTCCCCGAGAATTACAAGATTACTTTTTGAAGGAAACTGCATTATTACCTGTTTGATTTCCCTGATAAAAAATACTTGATTAGAGCTTGGAGGTCGGTATAATGCACAAATACACAATTTATAGTTGTAGCATGTTGACACTTCACCAATAATGGATTCGGAAAAGCATGTATTCACTGGAAGTCTATTAAATGAAACACTTTTATGCACATATAAGATGACTGCTCCACCTCTTTTGTTTTTGCGAAGTTGTGTATACATCTCATAATCTTCTAGTTGAAAAAGAGATGAGCACTCCGCTCTTATGTTAGCTTCTGTAACTACAATGATGTGTATTATTCTTAAGCTGTTGCTTATTATGTATTCAAGTTGATCAAAGTTTTTTAGCATGGATCTTATATTTAAATGAAGCGTACATAAATAATTACATTCTATGGGAGTCTTTTCTATAAATGCATTCCAGCTGTTATATGTATATTCATTTATATGTGGAGTGAAATCTTCCATGAAACACTACAATAATAACTTGACATTTGACAGTTACATATAATTTCATTTTGTGTTAAATGATTTCACCAATCTTTCTACATCATTGCTAGATCGAATGTGGTGTATTTTATCTGTTTCATGTTTTCTTGCCAATATCACACCATTCTTACACCACACGAACTTGCAGAGATTATTTCTTTTTAGTTCTGTTTTTGATTTCCACAGCAAATAAGCAGTTGCAGGTGTCAGAGATTCCCTGAAGTAAATCTTGCTTCCTTGCGAAAGTCCTATGTCTCGGCAGCTGATATCTATATTTTTTGAAAATTCCAACCACATCTCTTTGCACCCATCTCTCAATGATAAAATCACTACATACTGCGAGTTATTGCTGTTGTTCGAGCGTGCTGTTTTTTTTCTGAATGCTTTAATTATATTTTGTGGGTTTTGGTTTATTTTTATAGTAATTCTTTTTGTTAAATCTAATAGATATAATAGAATACCACATATCTCGATGTTATTAATAATGAGGTTTTGTTGTAACGAGTTAATTTTTTGTTCAATGGCGTCATTTTTTAGTGACACGTTTTTTAAGTTGTTTTTTATGTCTTTTATTTGGTTGTCAGTTAATTTCAAGTTTATTTCGTATTCTTTAATTTTCTCTTGATATTCATCCATTTTTTCGCAGAAAAATTGTAAGGTAGTTTGAAGTTCTTGTTGCATAATTTCTCGTAATTCTCTCCTTATGTCGCTGATTATTTTTCTCGTTAGGGTGTTGTATTGCAGTTCTGAGCTGGAACCTGTGTCTTCTTCCGCGTCAGGAATAATACATGAAATTCTTTTCGGTTTCGCTATACCCGTGCACATACGGCATTTCCAATCAACAGAGTCGGTACTATTTAATACGTTAAGTTGCTCTTCTGAGATTGCAGTACATTCCCCATGTGTCCACTTGCTGCATTTGCCACACTGGATCCCTTGGGACTTTTTGGTAACAATTTTGTTGCATTGAGAACACTTAACCATTGTATTTGTAAATCGATTCGAAGATGCAATCATCGGTCGAGCTGTTTCGGAGATTAGCCGGAACAAATATACAGACAGACAAAAATTTTAAAAATTGTGTTGTTGTTATTAAGAAGTGTACATACTTTCATATGTATATAGTTAAAAGCTATTATTTTGACATTACAAACAGACGGTGGAGTCGAGTAACTGGTACTACTAGCTTATGTATGTTCCTAGTATTTGCAGTACATACCTTACATTTTCATAAATGTATTGAAAAGCTAAAGTCGATACTTGATATATTAATTTTCTTAAAATTTTACCTCAGCGACTTTAGGTTTTAAGTCATATATTATGGCCCTCTTCTGTAAAAGAAATATAATTTCAGTGTTAGTCGCCTATCCCCATAGCAAAATACCATACGACATTATGTTATGGAAATAACTAAACTAAACTAGTCTAGCTGTTTCAACTCTGGTAAGATTTCTAATCTTTTCTACAGCATATTCTGCAGAACTAAGTCTGCTTGCTTGTTTTGATATATGGGGGCCCCCATTGAAGCTTTACGTCTACTGTGATTCCAAGAAAAATGGTCCTATCGACAAGACTCTGCTCCACTTCATTATAATTACATTAGTATTTAGATGTTTGACATTAGGAGTTATAAATTTCATACATTTAGTTTCAGTGCCATTTAAATACAAATTATTAATGTTAAACCGTTTGCCTAATTAAGAAAATATATATAGAATAGTTTTATTCAATTTTATCAATTGATGTTTTAAACAGCAAAATAGAGCACATTATAATATCACACACCATGAATAAACTTGAGTATGTTTTCTAAAGCTCATTGGCTGCTGATATAAGCAATAAATAATTCAAAGAACTCGTCATACTGTCTGTCAACCTGTGCAGAATCAACATCACAGATTTTAATTTTTTTATAAAATTAAAGTAATAAACTAGCATACAGCCCGTCTGTTGGTGAATGGCCGTAACCCGTGGACACTTGTGACCAATTTCAAACAAAAAAGGCTAGAGATGCATTGTGACCTCGGAGCTTCCTATGCCATTCAGACTTGAAAACAGCACTGCAAACACTGCTGTTGATAGAACATATAGGTACCAGGATGATACCTACCCAGACGAGCAGTAAACTAACTAGGTAGTATATTATTAATCCCTTCCATTAATAATAAAACAACAACAACAAAAACTTAAACTCTCTAGTTTCGTTATTTTTTTAAATTATCTAATTTACATATATTATGAAAAAAAAATACTTGAGATTCACCTTAATTACATCAATCATTTAAGTATTTGTGTATGATTGTATTGCAGGGGTACTTTTTATGTTTGGGCAGACAAAGCGAACCGGAGAAGCCAATATGTATCCTAAACCAGTACAGGATCTCACTGGTAAGTTTTATGTATCCCGAAAGTGTGTTGTAGTGTACAAGTACTATGTGATAGATAAACAAAATCCCCATGAGCCTTACCCATTTACACTGCTACACTGAAAAAATATCAAAATATCTGCCTGTTAATTCAGTAATCTTCAGAATAGCTGTGATGAAATTACATAGAGGACAATGACAGTAGTGATTTAGGCTACATTATATTAGAAAAACAGCTTGCTATTCAATATTTTCGACTTAATTGAGGGTTCACGGAACTCGTTGCTGAGGCCGATATTTCAAGAATAGAATCTCATATCAACCCAAGGAAGTAGATAGAAGAATACCACTATCATTACCATTTATACAACTTTCGATAGCCTCTAACTCTTAACTCTCTAATGTCAACATTTACACACACTCTCACATAACCAACTTTTTTTACCATGTATTTCAGGGTTACGTTATTTAAAAAGGTTGGTATATTTTTCACACAACAATTTAATACTTGTAAAATCTGAATGAAATTATTGTCATATTCCAGGATGGAACATCCGAAGCGTAGGCACTAGTAACACATCCATAGTGATAGCTGCTGACGACTCGCTAATCGCCTGGGGTGTCTCGCCAACTTACGGAGAGCTGGTTAGTTGGATCTCTGCAAAAATACATTGCCAGACATAAATTTTACAATATCGATGCTTTCCTTGTCGATTTTCAAAAATTGTCCAAGTTTAAAATTAAAAGAAAAAACGAACATATGCGAAGTCCGCCATGCACACGTATCATTTTGCAGCATTGTGGACTCTGCCTTCCCCTAAAACCCTCACATAAATGAGAGGAGTGTATCCCTTGCCCAGTTGTGGGATATAATAGGTCAGGGGAAAGGTTTCTTCATATTTTATTTCTATAAAATTGAACAAAAACTTCTTTGGTTGTACTATAGGGCATTAAGAAAAATAAAAAGTAAAGAACACTTTCACGCCATTTTTCAATTATTTCTCTGTTCACCAAAATGAGTGAATCTATAATGAAGAAATTCGATACATTCTGAAGTTTTATTACAAAAATGGAAAAATGCGACTCAAGCCTCGAAAAAAATTTGTGACATTTATGGACCTAATGCAGTGTCAGTAAGAGTAGCACAAAGTTGGTTCAAGCATTTTCAGTGTTAAAGATGCAGCTCGCTCTGGTCGCCCTCATATGGATAAAGTCGATACTATTAATGAAAAAGTGGAGCAATCTAGTAGATCGGCATATTAGTAGTTACGACATAGCCGAGTAATTGAGGATTGACCACAAAACAGTTTTGACCCATTTGAAAAAGTCTGGCTATACAAAAAAGCTCGACATTTGGGTACCACACGAGCTCACTGAAAGAAACCTAATGAATCGTGTACTCATTTGCGATTCTCCATTGAAACGTAATGAAACCGAACCATTTTTGAAAATATTGATCACTGGTGATGAAAAGTGAATCAGAAGAATGTCCGAAAAAGATCATGGTGAAGGGTAGTCAAGCTCCACAGACTGTAGCTAAACCCGGATTAACACGCAATAAGGTGATGCTGTGTATATACACCTGCTTCGGTCTCTTCAGAATTTTTTAGGTAGTGTTAGGTTAACATCAAGAGAGGACTGTCAAAACTATTTGTCACATTTTTTTTAATCAAAAACCCCAAGATTTATACAGCAACGGGATTATGTCACTACCTACAAGATGGCAACAAGTTATCAAACAAAATGGCACATATATAATTGAATGTAATTAAACTTTGAAAAAAAAATGTCTTGTATTTTGTATATAAAATACGAAGAAACTTTTACTGTGCAAATATAACGTAATCATATGCGAACACTGCGAAAGTTTTTTTTTTTTATTTCAATATGTCAAAAATTCAATATATCAAATTAATTAATCAAGCTAATATTATAGCGTTACATATTATGTGCATAGATAAGGGTATATCTTCACATACTCTGGTATGTGAAGATATATCCTTATCTATGATGTAGCTTCCGATAAATGGCAGTACAACCACAGAATAAATAATAGTACTATGTAGTATAACCATGTCATGTAAAACGTAAAATGTACCCAGACTGGTGACTAAAAGCAGCGTCAATGGTATTGGATATTCGGGATTATGACCAATCTGTGGACTTTTGCGGCAAAATATCTTCACAGTGATCCCATATAAATTTCAGACAGAATGTTAATATTTTAAAGTCGTTTGTATTTTTTTTTATTAATTTAATAATTACATTTTATATTGCAGGGAACTGGAGACATTAATAAATCCACAGCGCGGCCTAAAGAAGTCACCCGAATGGAAGGGCTTAACATTACACAGGTTACTATGGGTTTCTCGCACACGCTCTTGCTGTCCGATGACTCGACTGAAGAAGTGAAACAGAAGTTAGCTACAATGCCCACATTCAATCCTTAAGCCTGAAACTACTTTTGCCTGTAACTATGTTTAATTTAGATGAAAGAAAATAAGATTTTTGCTCGGCTTCATATGCCTGTAGGTTTTGTATTTTTTTTAAATCTATGTGTTTTCTTTTATTAATTGTGTTCACATCATATAAAATGTTTCTGGGTAGTTTTACATTCCTTTGCTGTGTTTTAACAACGTGAAAATGTTTATATGTCAAGAATGATTCGACAGTGAAGTTATAATATTACGAAAATTTGGAATACAAGTGGATTTTTTTTTATCTAGCCAACAAATATGCTTACAGTTGTTATCAGTTACTAGTTTTCTCTATCGTGCGGTCGTTTTGTAATACTCATTATTTATATCTAATAATTTCAAATTCTATGATAAGAATGTAATAGGCCGTGCATTGCTTTATATAATGCACGATTAACAAAATAGGGCAAGAAGATTCAACGAAGCCAGTACACAAGTAATACGTCGCGGATCGACAGCATATTCAAGCGTATGCCCCAACACATTGTAATATACATTGAGTAGTCGATCGATAGTTCTTAGACTGATTAATCAAAAAGCAGTCGATGTAGTTTTTTTTATTTTTTTGTCGAACAACTATCGATGGATAATATTCGGGCCTCTATCCATACATTTATACACACTTTCACATACAACTATACAGTTGTTTGATAAAAAAAATTTAAATAGTCTAAGGGTGATGCATGAGTTTCTTATTATTTAAGTATTTATACAGTCCACCCTTAAACCCTAAAGATTCAAAACCTGTTAATAAACTTCTGAGTTCGTACCGTCTGCTGTACTCGGAAAGTTAATGCGTGGTATCTCGATATGGTGTGTGAACAACCATTACGTATGACCATCAATTGTGACATTCGTATTATAGTACTTCACTGGCGTAATATTTAATAGTAGCGACAACATGAATATGAAATTGATAGTTTATTACTTATTGGTATTTATAAGGTACCTAAATATTTGTAACTGTATTGTTTTGACAAAATTTGTCAATTGCAACTTGTGATACTTCATCATTTTTTTTTTCATGAACAATTATTTAAGAATAGTGTTGGTGTATAGCCATCATCAATAAGCATTCCAGAATTTATAAGCTATAAGTGATTTTCTAATTATACTTTTATATAGTTTTAGTGCTGTGTGTAATCTCTTCACACACTTGCACGTTATAATTCTAGTAAATATCTGATATATTATGTCGATGTTTACTTGACTTATAATTATAGTTGAGCACAAAATGTAGTTAGGATTTTTACGTCAAATGGAACGGGTAACACGGTAAATATCCGATATCAGTTAATTTTGCTATTTCTATGCGAGTTGAATTTAACAGATTAACATTTTGTGTCCACATAAATCACTATTAAATCTGATCTAGGATTTTTTAAAGTGTAAGTTATGTAAATTGCAATATATTTCAGCCACATTTTGTTCAAATCGACTGATAACTGTTATAATGCCAATTGTTTTCTCGAATTTTATTGATCTCTTATTGGAACGTGTACATTTAGAATGTATTTTAAAACCTTAACACCTCAAAAGTATTCAATAATTACATTAAGATTAAATAAGTTAGTTTTGCATTTTGAGACTGGATGTTGATATGTTAGTATTTTATGTTAACACTTAACAAGTTTAACAAATTATTATTTTATGTTGTGAATTTAATATCAGAGCAAGTCCTCATCACGTCATCATCTGGCTTAAAATATATAGATTTAAAATTTGACTATGTCGTCTAACTTTTAGCTTAAAAACTGACCAGGAATTTAGTTCACTGTCACTGCCCACCTCCGTTCAATTTCCTAGTATACGATTTTTAGAATTAAAAGATAATACCTATATAATTAAGTTATCTTTTTCTACAGGTACATATTTTCTATGAATATAATGATGCTTAATTATAGTTAGGGTTTCTATAAAGTCTTGTACTTAAAATGTCTTTGTTTAATTTCTCTAAATATAATGTGTTAATTATAAAAATCTTAAATACACTGTTGTGTCAATTTCATTCTTGTAAACGTAACATGAACAAGTGTAATGATAATAAAATATTGTCGCCATTTTAGAAAAGTATAACGATTAAGAATAGGCTGATTTGACAAAAACTAATAATATCACATTGCCTTCTGTTGCACATACGAGTATACTGTTTTAATTAAGCTAGACTGTTCAACAAGTGTTTCCGGATTTGAAATCTGGGTTGGGCCAAAATCATTATGAATCAAGTAGCAGCCTGGAATCAGGAAGTTAGAAGTGTTTTACGCCAATGTCTCGGAAGAACATCAAGCCGTAGGTCCTGCGCCTAATCATTCTCCAGTCATGTCGGATGACCGTACCATGGGACTACGAGAGTGAGGGAATAGAGAGAGCACCTGTATTTACACACACGCTAATGCCTATATAATTTTATACTGCGCAGATGGCTAGTCTCCGTTTATAACAGGCCGCAGTGACTGAAAATCAGCCCAGAAGATATTATAATTTTAAATGGTGAATTTTACTCATTTAAATATTTGTTATACTCTTAACACAGTCAAAAATTTACGAGTACAAAAGATTTAAGAATACATTTTCATTGCCAACGATTTTTGTAATGAATAAATGTAAGTTTTCTCTTTCTTATTAGTTTAATTTCGTCAACTAAAAAATGCAGCTTTCTTTATACAAGGCTAGGACATATTGTAACCATAATACCAAATTATAATAATTATCTATACTTATAACAAATAAGATTTCTTCAATTTAGCTTAGGTTAGGGGGTTATTTGCATGCATTAAAGACAAATAACCATATTTAAAATTTTTGTCTGTACGGGCAAATTGTGGAACGGTTGAACCAATGGTGATGAAACTAAGAATATAGAGAGCAATGCCAGGGGGGATCTAGGCTATAGTTTATCCAAATAACTTGTTTTTTTGTTAAAGCGAAAAATTGATAAATGGTCGTTGATTGTCTTAAATATAAATAACTACATTAATAGGTCCTATCTAGGCGAAGCCAGAGCGTGTCGCTAGTTTCAATTAAATCTTTCAATGTGTTTGTTATATCGAAAATCAAAATAAAATATTTTAATATTGCTGCTTTCCATATACGCTTACCTTCCAATCTGGTTTACGTTTAAAGATAGCATTGCATTCATTGCGCCGAGACTTACAAATCAATTGAAAAGATTTTTTTAATTTCAAAGAAATTTTTGTAACTTAATCTCCTGGATATACCAGCGTCATACCTATATTATAATATAAAGAATTAAAAATTCGTTCTAAAATTATCAGTGAATTGTTTTCGGAACTAACCGTTTTATAGTATATGTGTAACCTTAGTAAACTAGCAACACTGCAACAAGCGTTATTTTGAGTTTGACAGACACGTCAATTAACTTTTTTTTTGATGCGGTAACGGCGGTATCAAGGAGTATAGTCTACTCTATACTCCATGGGTATGGAGTGTAGAGTAGAAGGAGAACCATCTTATAAGGTGCGAAAGTTGAAAAAGTGTCCCAATATATACTGAAAATAGAGGTTCCAAAACCTACCACAATAGCGCTGGCGTCTGAAAAACTACGATATGAATATAGCTGTTGTAGACGGAGTGAAGTCAGTTGAATTAAAATATTTTAAAAATTTCATGACTAGAGTAAGTAAACTTCCAGTATACAAAACCTCAACTATTTACGTAGTACAAAACCAAGCGGATTGGTCGGTCTTTGTTTATTTCTCCATCTTATTCTAATAAATTTTGGCGCTTTTTTTTAATTTATCCTATGCTACTGCAGCGCCACCCTTATTGGACGCGTTTATAGGGACACTTTTCATATACAGAGATGGTCCTCCTTCTACTCTACACTCCATATCCATGGGCGGTATAAGTCAGGTTGATTCAACTTTGTATGAAATCCGAGAAAGTTGCACACAATCATAATTTTGTCCGTGTGAGTTGGGCGTATAAAAATAAAGCGATTAAAAGATATCACTGTTTCTTTCCTTCGCGTTGCTTCAGATTGCAATTAAAAATTAGATAAATATATACGTAATTATTATGTCGAAATAAACTGAAAATGTTAAATCTGTGATATATTTTTTTTTGTTTGCACCTTACAGTAATTAAATACATACAAAGGCCTCCCCCAAGGAATGCCACAAAGCACGGTCCCGAGCCACCTGCGTCCATTGACTTCCTGCATACAGGTCGTCACTCCATCTAGTGGGGGAGATTACGACATATCTTCTCGTCAGGCATACCTCAAAACTAGATTGTACAACCAATGCTTGCTGACTGATGACCTATGGATCTGAGACGTGGTCCTTCACTGTTGGCCGTACTAGGAAACTCAGTCGCTCAGCGAGCTATGGAGAGCGCTATTGCTCGGCGTTTCTCTGCTGATAAACTTAAAAATGAGGATATCCGCAGTAAAACCAGAGTAACCGACTTGGATTAGTAAGCTGAAGTGGCACTGAGCTGGCCATATAGCTGGAAGAATCAACAACCGATGGGGAAGAATGGTTCTTGAGTAGCCGCCTCGCACCGGAAGGTTAGGGCGTCCCACCACTAGATAGAATTGACCTATTAATTGATTAAAATTAAATATTAGCAAAATTCTATCAGGAGAAGCCATGAATTAAAAGAAGAAAAAAGGCAATTGTTTGTCTTCTTTCATGTTGAAAAAAATTCTCAAATTATTTCATAGGTTTAATATTTTAATATGGTGTTTATAATTGTGTGTTTAGTGTTTTGTGTGTAGTTTATTATTTAATGTATTGTGTCGACTTATAAAATACTAGAGATTGGCCGGCGGCTTCGCCTGCGTCATAGTTACATAATTTATCCTAAGGATAAATTATGTAACTATGACGCAGGCGAAGATCCTAAATCTTAAAAACCATGTATCCGAATGGTCACATCGATTTTGACAATTATTATACAATACTATTTAGTAAAACACAGACCAAAAATACAAAGAGAAAAATATTTAA